AATAGTTGAGATCATAAGTCAATTGAAGGTGAACCATTATGGGACACCTGGAAGCACTGGATGGTCGTCTCGTCCTATTGTGGGATTCCTCTGCAATGCTCATTCACGATCCCACCTCGCGAGATTCGAACCCAGGACTAATTGGTCTCGCGCGTGAACGCCTAACCTTTAGACTACTGAGCCGGCATCAAATGTCATAATTTTTGGTATGTATTTAAAAATAATCATTTTATGAATTATTTGAATAATAAGGATTTATTTGAATTCCGTTTGTTCACTAAACAGTCAGTGTAGTGAACTAGAATACAAGTGAGGAAAGTCTAGTGTATTTGAACACAAAATTACAACATCTCTCAGTAAAATCTAAAAACCATACAGGAAATACTTCACTTGATAAATGTCAACCAATTCTCTCAATCTTGATTGTCACTTTGTTTTCACACCAATCATTTTCTGTTCTCGTTCTCTCTTCTTCGATTTTGTTGACCTTGTGCATCTAGGCCTTTTACTTTCGATTGATGGTACATACTACTCATATCACTTGACATCAGTAGTATGCACTACATTAGTACTTTGACTTTACTTCAATTATTACTCATTAAGTAGGTTTTTGTATGATTAATTTGTAGGTCGTGTTATAAAGATTTAATGTGACTTAAAAGTAATTTAATATTATAAACTAAAAATTCTTTGGAGGATTAATGAAAGTTGAAGAGGGCTGTCAAAATGTTGTGTTCTAAGTTAGAATCCTTTAATATTGGACGAATCCACGACAGGATTAAGCCCGAATTATTTTAATCTCTTTTCAAGGTTATGCAACCACTGAATCATTGATTTTTATTTCATACATTTAAATTCACATCTCATATCAATCCATAATCTAGTTTGGTGATTACCAAATATCGTTAATGTTATAACGATTGAGTGCCCTATTTAGTATATGAACGGCCCAATTAGAGAGTAGTGGATTTATTGTTTGGAACAATGATACATAAAATCGTACGAACAGTCTTGAGTGCGTATCGGCCCTGCTTTCTGCCTAGCCCAGTCAGTTAAGTTCAGAACACCAATAACAGCATCGGCAATATGAATCATTATTCACAAGCATACTGCGTTTATATACAAACCAGACAGACCACATCGTACCAAAGAAATAGAAAATAACATTTGTACAATAATTGGCCAAATGTGGCTGTTAATAGGGAGAAAGTAATCGATAGACTGATGATAACTCAAGAATCGTATGATAATAGGTCAAAGGTCGAAATAGGAAATATACATATTATATTGATCCATAAATAGTCCTCAGAGTTATCATTCATAATTCACCAGGGGATATAACAGCTAATAAGTTATTGTTTCACTACGGACTATAAATTATGGTGAATCTCCTTGAATTATCTAATTAGTGATTAGCATATACTCTTTAAGAGAGATTTCGGAAAGCTTTTATTGGGAGCCGTAATCTTCTCAGTGAGCTAAATCGATAATAAGACAAGAATTTCACGACCATATTGGATAATTATTGTGTTACTTAATAGACTAAATATATTTGAAAGCAAGAACCACTAGACTCTTGATTTCTAACTGAGTAATATCATAATTTTGGTAAATTCTGATTATACCGAGTTCTATCTTGAATGGAGTGTTGTTTGCATACATCTAAGAATAAAATAAAAAGGAACAGAATAAACAATCATTGCTCATGGCTTCTTAAAATTTTTTCATCTCTTGTCACTTTGCAACGATAACTGTCTTTAAACTGTGATTTTCTTCAAAAATTAACAGGATTTAAGAAATCAGCTTTCGTCTAGTCAAATGTTATGCCTGTAGATATTAATTTGAAGGCTTCGTAACAACAATACACTGATTATTAATCATCATCAATTCCTTACATATTAGGCAATCGACTAAATTATCATAAACTGTATAACAGTAAACTTCCAGTTCAGTGAATCTTTTTGGTTGTCAAATAAATTAGCTAAAAAATGTAATATTTAAAGGGTAAAGTGTTACAAATTATATGAGAATAATTGTTAAGATGTTGGCTTTTAGAAATTTAAGTGTCTGCAATCTAGCATTTGAATAATAACACTGATTACATAACATGTTTGCAACGACATCTTGAGATTATACTACTAACAAGTAATTAGAGTATAATATTAACTAGTTTCTCAGAAATGAATTACCATTCCTTTTGACTTGTAGTAAAGTTATTCATAGCTTGGGAATCAGTTACTTACGCCTGTTACTTGGGGATCAGTATATATATATATATATATTTAGAGAGAGAGAGGGGAGGGAGAGAGAGAGTATTGTCTCGTAGTGATAGCAACTTAGTGAAATATTTTTAACAACTACTGAATTCATTGCCATAATGAAAATGGGAATTACTTCCATTGATCAACCTATCTACTTAATTTTGAATTGAATGGGTGACTACATGCGTTTTAAAGATGTAATGATTAAAGTTAACAAAAAAGTATATAAATAATGTTAGTCTCAAATCATAAATTATAGAGTCAACAGGCTAGCGGAGTTCTGAAAAAATATTTCCTTCTTTAAGTATATGAAGTCATGAAAATTAAATATTCATTATTATTTGGTAGAAATAGAAATTTTTGTATATAAATTTTATATTATATCACAGAAATTCTAAACTTGTAGAATGGAAACATATTTCATAGAGATGTGGTTCCAGTAATACTCTGAAAAGTTCCAGAAAGAAGTGTAATTTTTACTTCGAATAATTTTTCTCTAGTAGATAGGATTTAACCGAATTTCTTCAGATGAGTCGAAGAGAAAGGTTCACTCAACCATCTATCTATCAATCAATCTATCTATCTATGGCCTAATTTACTTGTCTGCATCTATGTTATTTATTAATTTATTGCTTTGAATCATGGTCATTTAGTTTCGAAGGATACTGGAATTACAGATATTTTTCTAAAGAAATTCGAAAATAACTTGCGTTTGACAGAGCATCTGTCTTTTCTATAAGCGGGTGTTTACACTTTTGACTTCAAACTGAGCCATTCATTAGGTTTCTGAGGTTTGGAATTTTCTCATGACGAGTTTTTTGAGATATTTATTGAGCATCTCTAACTACTTTTATACTCCTAAAAGTCATGCTACCTAGTACAGAAGCAGACTAATCTTCAGCTAGGGCTAATCAGACAGAGTTGAATCATTTATGTGGATGTTTATTTTTTTAGAGGGATTATTGAGTTGATCACAAATGTTAGTTGTTGACTCAGGGTAGCAGTGGTGTACAGATAAATGCTCTTTAATTCCCTATATGTCTTGATTTTCAGTGGTATTTCATACTTTTATTTCTTTGATTCATCCTTGTTTAAATCAGATTCTCATTGTTTAAAATTTTACCGTCGTGGATGTACTGATAATCGTTGGACTGATTAAAATCCAATGTTGATAAGTTTGAGACTGGGTCTTTTTTTATTCCTAGCTGTGAACAATTAAGATTTTTTAATACGAACGAGTTCTATAGAGAACTCCATAGACATGGAGTAAGACACACAACTTCAATAATTATCCCTACCTTGATAGAAGACAAGGAGAAGTCAGGTGTGCATTGAACGCTTAATATCCACTAAATTATGAGAGGACAACTCTGCATATACAATAACCTGCATGACCTTGTGACACAAAATAAAGTTAGGATACTAAGAGAGTTTGCAACGGATTAAATAAATACAAAGGCCACGGTGAGAATCTGAATTAGGAAGATGTTATCGTTGCTATACATATGAACAAAAACTTTCATTCATTAAAGATCATTAATTCACCTTATCTTTCTACCACATTTTGTTAATTTACTCTTACTCTGCTGATGTCCATTGACGGATAAATTTATTTGTTGGAATAACTTAACCTACTAAGTAATTATTTGATTTATATGTTATGATTCAAATGTAATACCAGCAAAACCATCAAAATGAAATTCATGGGTAAAGTTAATGATGTGATCGACATGGGATTTAAACGAATAATCTGCAAGCCCCTTTTGATTTAGGTTCATTTACTGGGTTAAACCTAATAGAAACATTACGGCTAGTAAACGACTCCATTAATCATATATGCAGTCGCGTGAGAACCAACAAACAAACGGAGAATTTCAAGAATGTTGTTTTGGAGAAACATGGCCAAGTGTTAACGGAAGAACTGGGGGAATGCAAAAATGTGAAAGCACAACTAATTCTTAAACCGGGAGTCATCCTTGTTTTTAAACCAAAACGTCCGGTACCTTAAGCAGCTCTATCTATTGTTGAACAGGAATTCGAACGCCTGCAAACATGTGGAATCATAGAACCAGTATATGAAGGAAGAAATTAAGTACATATATGTCTTCACGTGACTATCCTTGTGATATCTTGAGTTTTCAGGGACTAACTTTTCCAACATCTTAAGTACTCATACAGTGAATCCTTATTTTTGTACAGTTAATGATAATTAATAAAGTGAGAATAATGAATGTCGAACTGCTCTCCTAAATTTTATCCTATACCGATTAGTTTACTAGTAAAAAAGACCTGTCCCATTCACTGGTAGAATTTAGTCAGCACTAAACTAATAGACAAATATTAATTTGGCCACTCCTTAATGGACAATCAATTATAGATACATCAGTCTTATATAAGGGCAATCAGGACCTAAATAACTCACTGGTAAAGTCTCATAGTGTGAAGCTGGTAACTTAAGTCCGAATCGCACAGGGAAAATTTGCTCCCTCAAAATCCCCGATTTGCCTTATTGATGGGTGCGAAACTTCGTCCAGGTCTTCCTCACAACTATCTCTAACCACCTAAACCTTATCTCATTTTTATATCTTGAAAATGGATTTGGTATAGCTCTACTATAATTGCTGATTACCAAACGATTGAGCTTGTTCCTATACGAAAGGTTTTTATGGCTGACTCAATAGAAGAGCAACTGTGACACAATACCAACAATATTCCACTTTTACGAAAAAACACGGAAAAGACAGAAGTGTAGGAAACTTGATATTCAAGAAAAGTTTAAATCGTACAAGTGTGTATAGATATATCAATAAAAATATGACCTTTGAGCACACGGAAAGTTACTAAGCTGAAAGTAGTGACAATCGATTAGAAAAGCGCAAATGCTATGCAAAAATTCGAATTAGAAAAGATTCATTCTTAATTATCGTTACCAGTTAGAGCTTAACGTTTTTTGAAAAGAAAGATGGATAAACCTTTGATCTTCCTAAAACCCACCCAATTCAGGAGATAGTTTTTCTTCATAATCTTGTCTTCATCACAATCATTTAAAAATGAAGTAATCAAATTCAAAATTGATATTTCACAGAAAAGTAGAAAAGCATAACAGTCGTTTACATACACACATGAGCATAAACAAACAGACAAAGAAAAATTCACACTTTGTACAATAACGTTAGTAACAACGTTCAAATCACTGTTGAGGATAACAAGATCCTTTTACAGAAGCATAAAAAAATCGAAAAAAAGTGCTGGTTTTATTTAAACAAAACTGCAAAATTCAAACAAAAGTTGTATTTCTCTTTTGAAAAATATTGAAATCTGAATAGAAAAAAGTCATCTGAAAGAAAATGTATCCGTCTTGTAATCATTTTTCAAAAAAATCATTGAGGTGAATTTGAGAGAATAAAAAAGACATTTTGAAGCTGACAAATTGTGACAGGAAATCATCAAACAGTTTTTACGTTGAACAAGTGAATCACGTCGTTGAATAAAACAGAATAAGCTTATCGTATGAGATGAAAATAATGATATTATGTACTTTACCTGAATTATTGTGTGACTGAGGTAATAATGATATTTACAAATTTATATCAAAATGATTCCAGTCAACCGCACTTGTGTATACTACTGAATCATGAACGGAATAAATAGTTAGGTAAACAAATACATTAACTGGGTAAACAAATAGGTAGTATCGAATTTGATATTATTAACAGTAACAATCATAATGATTCATTAGTTTTTAATAATGGATCTAATATATTCGACTGTCTTGATAACCGTCCAGATGTTAAATCCGATTCCAACTCATATAACTGCCCCATAAATGCGAAATTCGGTGCAATCACCGAACGTCTCGATTTCACATATTGATAAGCATCGAGTAACGACAAACTTGAATAGTTCATTAAATAAGCAATAATTAAAGCTGGTGATCTGGACACACCAGCTTGACAATGAACAAGTACAGTTTTGCCAGAGCAACGAACTTTTTCTATAGAGAGACAATTTTTTTAAAGAAAAAACATTAATAAAATAAACGAAAATGAAACGTAACATTTTTTATTAGGTGACAATAATCATAAAATTAGAAAACATTACTTCATTCCCCATTTCAAACAAAATCTTAGGTGTAATGACAAAAGAAGTGAGTTGATGGAATCACTAGTATGATTGATGTAACGGAACAGAAGATTCGCTTATGCAACAAACCAATGAATTTCATTAGAATCTTAGAAAATGGAGTTAGGGGAAAATTGGTTGTATCTACTAGTGAATTCTAATTTTTGTTGATGAACAATACATTAAACCAAGCTATTGTGTTATAATATCAGGCAACAAGCAATTAATTTAAAGACATATAATTTACAGAGTTTAGTGGAGACTGACGAATATTTTATTTGAATCTATATTCCACTGGTTTCAGAATATATATATATATATATATATATATATATATATATATATATATATATATATATATATATATAAAATATCAGTAATCTTATTTATCTAAAGTTCATTTTATCGCTATACCCTAGATTAAGCAAGATAACGGTTCATGTATAATAAGTCTACAATAACATTAGTATCATAACAGTCAATACACAATATATAAATAGCTAATAGTATTTTACATTAAATAGGAATAATACATTTGTAAAATCTCAGCGAATGAATTTGTAGTAAATCCAACGTTTCGCCTGGCAATCTGGTCCAAGCTTTTTCAAGGAATTATAATCAAACATCAAAATTATCGAATATAAATAGGTACACGGTTCTTCGTTTCATTGTACACTGAATAGGTCATCCAATCAACGTTAAAAAAGTCTAAACTAGATATATGATTTGATATGTGATGTGAAATGATAAGCGTTAATATAACATATTGTAGAGAAAACGTAAGTGGTGAGAGGAGAAAATTACATTCACACTATATATTGTCTCTTATGAGTGAATTTATAAGGAAACATACAATTTGTAATATATGATATGAATCATATCTGTCACAGCATGTATAAAATAAAGATAAATAAACAAAATATCTATCGGTTAAGGGCTTCGGCTCGAGACTGGTAGGTCCTGGGTTCGAATCTCGCTCGCGAGAGCGGGTTCGTGGATGCTCACTGCTGAGGAGTCCCATAATAAGACGAAACGGCCGTCCAGTGCTTCCAGGTTTTCGATGGTGGTCTAGCTTCAATTGACTCATGATTTCAACTGTGAAAATAAAAATACAAATATATTATTCCTATTTAATGTCTTACATCAACTCGGCGCTCAAATACTGTGAAACTATTCGCTCTAATTGAGACGAGAGTTCTTATATAATAGTATTTTATTTAAACGAGTTTTGTGAAGACTGGTTTAATTTGTACGTCATATTCGTAATGGATTGATCTCAGTTGAGGTGCCATTAAATATCAATGGGCATCGGAAAACTGTGTGTCTTCGTCAAGACTGTTTTGTCCTAATACGAGGCTTTCCTCAGTAGTGAATATCCACGACCTCATGATGTCAGGAACCTACAGTCTTCATTTTACAAGATGAATATCTAACCAGTAAAACTACTGGATCAACATTCATTGATATAATTTCAACATCGATCAATGTGAGATATAACACGACGATTATCCAACATTATAGGTGACAACTCTCACACTGTCGCCATGTCTGAACCCCACTTATAACGACTTCTCACTAGAACTTTAAAAATATCTTGAAGAAGGTCACTGGTGAATTGACTATTATAGTTTAGTTGAAAACGTTTTGTGGAGATTAGTTTGATTTTGTAGGCATCAGTTGTGATTGATGTGCATTGCTGAGGAATCCTATGCCAGGACGTAACGGATTTCCAGTGCTGCTATGTTTCATTGGTACCCTAAATCAGATCATTTTTTAAAATGAATACTACCTAGAAAACAACATTTCGTTACATTTTGACTTCAGATATTCAATTCAACCATCAGATACACAGTGAATTTACGCAAAAATTATTCGATGAGTTCTAGCTTTTATTTAAAATTTTTGACTAGAGCAATAAAAAAAAACTTTTATGGAAATCATAAAGCCCAAAGAGTGTGTTATACAAAATTTGAATAGTCGATTACGACTGACTAACAAAATAAATACTACAGTGGATTGATCAATAAGAGAATAAGGTATAATGTATAATGTACAATATGAAAATATTCAATTTTATCTAATAAGCATTAGTAACTATCACAAACAACTTGAAAAATCAATTAAGATATCGTTTTTTTTTCATTGTCTAGACATAATACCTATGTTTATCTGATGTCATGTTTATAATTAACAGAATGTGACAAAAAAAATAAGATGAACTGTTATGGTTAATCTCAAATGGACACCTTCAGATAATATTCAATAAAAACATTTTTTTAAACAAGGAATAACAATAGAAATAAACATGAACATTATAAATATATTAATTTATCTATAACCATCTACCCAATGCTCAATTTATTCGAAATTATTAAGTCATACACTGTCAATGTTACCTACAAATTCATGAACATCATTCATAAATTTTGAAAAATAATAATTGTATACTAACATTGTATTATTCGTTGTCACTAATTTGTTACCCCGATAACAACAATAACAACTTGAACTGATTAATCATTATAATCAGTTCTATGAATTATTGATCTCATCTGTCAATCATCAATGATAATGATCTTATTCAATGCAGTTAGGTTTAATAAAATGACAATTAATATATTAGATATATCTCTAACTTAGATGTACACATTTAAAACAAGTCTCGTATACTGTTTCATGCAAGAAATGATCTAATGCATAGAAAATGTGTTCAATATTTGAACAGTCCAACTCATTAGATTTTATATGAATTTCAAATATTATTATATTCAAATTTGGCATATTGTATGTACATTACAATCATATTTAAACTGTCCTAAATATCTGTTTATCTAAGAAATTTATGTCAATTATTTAATGTTTTTTTGCTGAGGAGTCCCATAATAGAACGAAACGGCCGTCCAGTGCTTCCAGGTTTTCCATGGTGATCTAGCTTCAACTGACTCATGATTTCAACTATGAAAACAGTAAATTCTCCACGAAAACCCCTTATGATCTAGAATAGTTATAACACAAATACTTCTTAAAAATTCATACATATGATCACATAACATCCGTCCAATATAGTACATTTGTTACTTAGGAATCACTTGTTCTAAATTCTGTATACTGTCGACAAAACGTGATATTTTATAGTTTTAGATTACAAATAACTACTGAAAACCAAGATAGTTTTCTTCAGTGCTCTTTAAAACCAGTACGTGATGGATAACTTCCTAATTCAACAAACTCCACGACACTGTATACTAAGATATTCAGTATTGTATGATCAAATGGTTTCATTCCTAACTGCTTAGTTAATAATAATAATAGTTATTATTACTATTATTATTGTATATGAAGAAAGAGAAAAGAGCATTTGGATGATATTACTGCTGCACAGTAGGACATTAATACAGTATGGCATTAGTCTGATGACTAACATTTCGGTGTGGTTTATCCGAGTAAAATTTATGTATCTGTTTCACCGCATTTATTACCCAATTAGATAAACATTTAAAACTTTAGATCCATCTCTTAAGTTTGGCATGAAGTTAAATCTATTTTAGATGAGTCACTGTTTGTCTAGAATCCACGTCTGTCTGTTTATCAATCCCTTTCTCAAAAACAAAAACAACGACATATTTTTCCAGACTGACTCAGCATAAATAGAAGCATAGCAGACGGTATTGTTCTTTTTACAAACTACAAAGCAGTGAATCACAACCGGGACATGACTCATCAAATTCGTATTATTTCAAGATTATACTAATTATATAGTGAAAGAAATTACAACGAAGACAAGAAAACAAGGTATGGTGTTGTTCTTTTAAACTAGAGATTGTAATTTTTGAGACAAACGTTCGAAGAAAAGTATTTCTTATACTAAACTGTAACATTATTGACACAGATTTGACTGGACAAAAAATCCTATATTATGGAAATGCCTTATATCAGGCGGAATACACTAATTTCAAAATATTTCCCAGAATTATTCGTAAGTCCCATGTATAATATACTTAATACGCCGTTACACATGATGAGCCGATTTTCTTCAATTCCAGTGGGTAATTTCTAATCTGAATATCTTGGCGACATATTATTTGAATTTCATAGTGACTGAAGTGTGTTTAGGCACATAGTTTGACTAGTACGTATTAGTAACTATTTACATTATGCACCTGTTGCTCACCTCTATCTGAAACAGTTTTAACAACGGAAGGTCTTGTTAAAAATTGAATTTAAAAGTTGTTCAATTTACGTCATCTTGAAGTAACTGACTCTTACTTGTCAAACGGTCAGTGATGCAAACTACAACAATCATATATCCAGTTTGCATAGAAGGCTTCAACTAAGTGGCTACATAGGGTACAATCAAGTGATTTAGTTGTTGAAGTGTAACTAATTTTTACAGAAATAACATAAGTACACATTATTTGTTCAATGACCAAAAATTAGTGTTATTGAATATCATACAAATCGTAGTGAACAATGGACACAAAAACAAAAATATGGTATGACTATCTACATACCGATGAATTGAAATGCTGTTGTAAAATACGATCGTAAATCTTGTGAATGTGAATCGTTTGCAGGGAGACGACAGCAATTAAATCGCGATTCATCAAGAAATGGTGTTTTAATAGTTACATTTAAAATTGAATCTATACTATATTTATTTAAAATCTTTTCATTTTGACCATCGTATTCATTCCCTATATTAGAAAAATAAGAAAGACAAAATGATCAAGATGAAATCAGGATTTCTGTAAATCGAGTACCGAAAAATTGTACAACACAAATCTCAATGAAATCATACATTATCATATGTTTGCATGTCTATGCCTGAGCCTATGCAAGTATCAACATCAAGTTATATATAGTATATTAACCTTAATTAAAAGTAATTTATTACGTGAATTTGTCACTTTCAAATTTATTTTTCCATAGATGATGGATATGTTTTATAGGCGTACAAGTAACCAACCTTCACACTAACGTAGTATAAAGTTTACAATTTACAAATTTGTAGCTAGTAAAAGTGGATATGCATTTAGGTATCTTATAATGAAAAGTTTATACATTTGTGTCTTTATTTAGAAGTACTATAAATATTATACACAAACGATATTATTACACTTATTGATTCATTTATGTAACTATAACTGACGGAGTTAAGGACAACATGTAAGCAATCTTTACTGTACTAATGTGAAATGTGACAACTTGAATACTTGTTCCATATTTTAATTTGTTGACAGATAAATAGGAAAATTTGACGAAACGAATAACTGAATATAAAATTTAACTCGAACTATGAGATGGCGGATCACTGTGTACTATTCTCGGTTTGTTACAAAAACCAAGTCTATACAGAAAATCGATTTGTGTGCCATGTTCTTTACAATTGATCGATCACTGGGTGGTGATCAATGTCATGTGTGTGCGATGTTCTGCATATCGATTCCAAAAGAAAAAAAGAGGACTACTTTCAAATGATAAATAAATACCCAATACTAAATAGCTAACAAAGTATAAACCCAATCCCTTCCAACTAAGTATTATATTATCAGATTAACTAATTTCAAACTAAGATGGTAAGATTTTTAAACTTTTTGATGTAGAGAGAATTGCCTAGAAAACGAATCGGTGAACAAAAATCAAGAGCTGAAAATTTCTAGGAGGATATTTTGGAGAAGATTCATGTGATAAAACTTTAAAATCACAATGAGTAAAACAGTGGTAAACTTGGAAAGACATCATTATAAAATAAGATCTGAAAGTCATGACTTCAATACTCCTGAGTGGGGTTTATGAATGTCCATTGCTTGGAAGTTCTATACTGAGGTGAAACAAATATCCGGTGTTCCCTGATTTTCAGCGATTGTTTAACTAAGATCGATGTCATAATATAGAACTTGAAATGAGATAAGCATGCCAGAAATTTTCCAAGTTTATTTATCGTGACATTACTCAGTATGAAGTAAAATGGTGAGAGATTCAAGAGTGTAATAAAGCAATCAAAAGTGGTTTTTAGCAATACTTGATCACATCTTTGAAACTTAGAGTAATGAGACCTAAGCTAACATAATATTAATATTTGATGGGCACATCGATGTATAAAAAGCCTTTTTGATTACAAATGATTTATATATATTTTGATACTAAATGTATTTACGGTTGAATTCCACTGATTTTAAAATCATCATGGCATGATGTCGCCGACATGACGATAATCTATGATTCTGATGGAGTTTTGTTCTCTGAGCTGCAAATCATCCCCATCATCTCAAAATCTATGATTTCTTTATGCTGAGAATTATCGGTAAAGTTTAAGGACTTGACCTTATTGCACATACTGTCAAGTCATTTAGACGAAGATAAATGGAGTGGTCCACTAATGATCCTAGATGTAGTATGCCTATATTATCAAATGTTTTTTTTATTATTTAAAAAAAACTGTTACTCACTTTAATGAACGAAATGTTTACAAACACCATGGTGAAACAAACAATATCTTATGTAATATAATTATAAGTTATTTCTACATGAAAATATGACATTACTACAACTCATCATTTGAAATCATTTAATGGGATATTTTGTTTTTACCTAGATATAGAAAAGGGAATATTCGACTGATTTCGGCACGAAATATATCTTTTGGATCACCAGGATCATTATCAGTTACACAAAGTTCTGCTAAATTCCATTGTTTTTCAATAAAATTTGCAGTTGAGCTATAACGGTTAATTATTGCTGAAGCCAAATGACTAGATTGTTTTACTGAGCTATGTAATCGAATCGGCTTGTGTTCTGTATTTCCTGCAGACAAGCCTAAACCCGGTAACAATATTGGCGAACATGTGAATTCTAATTTTCGACACCTTGTTTTTGTAAGTGAAATATTCAAAGAATGAGCTAACTTATCCTTGATATTTCTCGACTCATTATGAGAGATATTTTCAGTGGGATCAGTTTTTGACTCATCACTAATAGGTTGAGATTTGGCCAACGGCTGTTCACACAAATGATGATAAGAATTGCAAAACTCTTGAATACCGCCTAAACGAAAAAATAAAACAGAAAAAAGCAAAACAAGTGTTACTAAACATATTCCAAAACATATATATGTATACATAACGCCACCTGCAGTCCTTCTGGGGTTCCTTCTGGTTCAAAGCCAGGGTAAAGGAGAAGGTTTGGAATGGGGTTAGAAATCTTATCCAATAGAAAACAACCTAGATAAAACAACCTCACCAAATTAAACAAATTAAACCATTTGTACTCTACCCTGGGAACCAAAGAATCTTCATTCAGAAGAATTATAACGCCTCATGGTGAAAGCCGAAATTCTTCAGAAGTCAGGAAGCCGATGGCCCTTGCGACAACCAGAGCAACAATTAATATAGGTACATGAAATGTCCGGATTGAGTGGGAGAACAAGAGGATCAATCAAATAGCTGAGGAAATGAGGCAATACAACCTAGTGGTGCTTGGAATAACTGAAACGCATTGGACCTAATCTGGATAGAAGAGATTGGGTTCGGGAGAGATGCTGTTGTACTCAGGTTATGAACAGCGAAATGCTTCTTACACACAAAGAGTTGCACTGATTCTGTCCAAAGAAGAACAAAAAGCACTTATAAGATGGGAATCTCATGGATCCAGGATCATCAAAGCATCCTTCAAGACAAAGAAGGAGGGAATCACAGTCAGTGTTACTCATTGCTATGCACCCACCAATGATGGAAATGACGATGGTAAAGATCAGTTCTATGAGAGGCTGCATAGCTAGGCACCCAGGAAAGGACCGCATCATCCAGATGGGGGACCTAAACAGCGGTTATGAAAATATCGTTTGACGACATAAAATAACTGGGAGAAAGGAACGAGAATGGTGAGATATTCGCAAAATTATGTGCATTCAACAAAATGGTTAAAGGTAGAACTGTATTCCCCCACAAACGCACACACAAGGCTACGTAGATCTCAACGGATCACAATACACAGAACCAGATCTATCAAGACAGTCCTACTGTACGGCGCAAAAACTTGAAGAACTACCACAATCGTCATCAAAGAGGTACAAGTATTTATAAATAGTTGACAATGAAAGATAGTCAATGTCCGTTGACCGGATACTATCAGCAACAGCCTACTGCAGGAAAGAAGAAACTAACTTTCAACTGACAAAGAAGTGAGAGAAGACGTTGAAGGGGTATAGGACATTTATTGAGGAAATCAGCAAACTGCATCACAATATATATATATATATATATATATATATATATATGACTTGTCAAGTACAGATTAGTGTACTCAGGTCTGATATCTACATATTTTGTCATGGTGAACGTTCAAACCTGATCCACTTATCTTGATTTAATTAACTGGGTAACATCGCTGTCCAACAAGCAAAACGTGTGGTTAAAAGCCAAGTACATAAACCTGTAGTTGGCAGACAAGTTACCTACGATTTTCGTAGCTGAGAACGGTATTTTATTAATAGCTGACCTTATCCAATCTTGCGAAATTTTCAATAATTTAAAAATACATTAGTGCATATGAGTGTCATTATAATGTGCTAAAATAATGTAATTAGGCAGCCGGTCAATACAACTAGTGTATCTATAAAACAAATTCATTTCTATTACTACTAATTATAGCAGTTTCTATAATTGTTTCAAGTTAAACTTATAAGTTTATAGCTGAAGCATGAACGGTCGATAAACCCGAAACATGACCAACCCATGACTATTTCAGTAGGAGTGAAATTTTTCAAAGTGAAACTAATTAGAATCTTCAGAAACTAAAAGAAAGCTTTGTATAGCAATTGATGTCGGTTTGCGATATTCTGTAAACGGTCGATAGTAAAAAGTTATTTTCCCAAATTCGGAACTATCTAGTACTGAATACGAAACTTACTTACTTACGCCTGTTACCCCTCGTAGAGGAGCATAGACCGCACACCAGCATTCTCCATCCAACTCTGTCCTGGCCAATCCATCCCAGTTCTTTCCAGTTAACATTCATTCTTTTCATATCTGCTTCTATTTCCCGACGTAATGTGTTCTTTGGCCTTCCTCTTTTTCGTTTTCCTTCCGGATTCCAAGTTAGGGATTGCCTCGTAATCTAGTTGGGTGATTTCCTTAATGTATGCCCTATCCACTTCCAACGTGTTTTCCTAATTTCCTCTCTAGCTGGAAGCTGGTTTGTCCTCTCCCACATAAGGCTGTTGCTGATGGTATGTGACCAGTGAATGTTGAGTATTTTGCGTAGACAACTATTTATAAATACTTGTACCTTTTTGACGATGGATGTAGTAGTTCTCCACGTTTCAGTTCCTTACAGAAGGACTGTCTTGACGTTCGTGTTGAAGATTCTGACTTTGAAATTAGTTGACAGTTGTTTTGAGTTCCATATGTTATTCAATTGTAGGAATGCATTTCTTTTTTTCCGATACTCACATTTACGTCTGCATCAGATCCTCCATTTTTATCAATGATGCTTCCCAAGTACGTGAATGTTTCCAGATCTTCCAGAGTTTCTCCATCAAGTGTGATTTGATTGGCGTTCTCTGTGTTGTATTTGAGAATCTTGCTTTTTCCTTTGTGTATGTTGAGGCTGCTGCTACTCTAGTTGCTTTCCTCTGTATTTGTTCATGTGTATGAGATAGGAGGGCTAGATCATGTTCGAAGTCCAAATCTTCTAGTTGCGTCCGAATTGTTTATTGTATACCGTGCTTCCCCTTAGATATCGAGGTCTTCATAATCCAGACGACCACCAGAAGAAAGAGAAAGGGGAAGAGTAAGTAGCCTTGTCTGACACCGGTCCCCTCTTGGAATGCGTCTGTCAGCTGTCCTCCGTACACGACTTTGCACTGTAGTCCGTCTTATGAGTTCCGGATATTGTTGACAATCTTCTCAGGAACTTCACTCAATTGATTGTTCGACGATGATCCATAGTGTCGCAATCCGATCCTTGCTGAATCCAGCCTGTTGATCTCGAATTCAGGTGTATACTGCGCCTTTCATCCAGTTCAGCAACACTCTATTGAGGACTTTTCCTGGAATACGAAACAACTATCAATCAAACCTTCAAATCTTACAGTAAACACTAAATAAATCAGTCACTAAATTGAAATCTAATGCCTTATCCATTCGTAGATTTTTCGCACTTTATCTCACTCCTAATATTACACTTTTTACGTCATCATTTAGAACCACATGGTGTTGAATCCCAAGTAAGTAAACATTGATTTTTAGGAGGAAATTCACATAACTAAATATCTCTCTAATTTAAATAAATGTTCTCTAAAATATGGAGATAACAGTGTGTTTTGTAAAACTATATAATGGCACTTCATAATTCCGACCTTGACGTATCACCATCTTAAGTACTAAGAATACTAAGGTAGAAATTTACGAGATTATTTTTACTATTTTATCAGTTCGTAGTGAAATGTATATTATCAAAATGTTTATATCTGTCTATATAAAGTCATTTGATTTTATTAACTCAACACTAATAAGACAGAAAGCAAACTTATTACGCATTAAAAAATGGTTTCATCAAAAATTACTTCAGTTGATATTAGATCTAGTAATACACAGTGCTAAGCAACTTCCATATTACGATTTCCAACATTTATTTAGTTGAAAACGACGAAGACGAATGCCCACTGGCAGATTATATTGAGCGAAGATCTACGTACTAAGAAAACTTTTGCCGTTTTAAACCAAAATTTTGAAAACGTACAATGGTGAGCTATTATTATTATTAAAGTGTCTTAAACTAGAAAATAAAACTATATGGACGTTTAAAATATTTACTAGATAATTTCTAGTTAAAATCTACTCCAATATCTACAATCTATTAAAATGTATTAACTTCGCCTGAAACCTTTCTAGGATTAGTTCCATTCCCAAACCTAAATAAAGGAGGGTTGGGCATAGGGTTGGTAATCCTATCCCGTAGTAAACAACCTTATCAAAAATATGCTAACAAATAGAATATAATAATTTTCTCTTATTTTCGTCTAAAGGAATCTGTTTTATGATTTAAGGTTTGAACTGAACACTTTACTAACCACGTGACGAAATCAATAATCTGGTAATTTCAAAAACAAATAAACAAAGCTGCTAAAATTAGTAGGTTTTTGTTAAGCCTAACGTTAACTAATAGGGATAAGTAAAACCTTATAAAAATGTTTAACTATTCGTGAAATGTTTATTCCATGAAAACTTGCCTTTACACTCTCCTAAAACTAGTGTATCAAAAAATCTCAGCTTATAAGAAAATGCTTATTTTGCTATACAGAATTAGTTAGCAAATAATTAAACAAAAATATGGTTTGTGAGCCGTTTTCGTCACAGACTGATTTGGCTTGAGGGACAACTTAAAAGCACGGCCACTAAACAGCTGTTTCGCTCTATAATGAGACTGTTCAGAAATGGTCAACCCCGACCTCATCTGGAATCGAACCCAAGAATAAAATCCAATAATACGATTTCAAATTCAATCGATTTGAGATATTGCACAAAGATCATCCAATGTTATTGGTAACAACTATTCCACTAAGTTACTGAACTCCGCCAATTTTTATTGACACTTCGAATGAAATTAATCTGTGACGAATATAACGTACAAATTAATTCAATCGTCAACAAAACAAGCTGAAGACAACAAAGAACTATTTAGTTACCTAACCAAGTTTTGAATAGAAGTTAAGTCTTTAATAAGATACTAGGGTTTTAAAAATATTCTCACTGAACACTTGAATTTATACATGAGACCTTAATCATTGGAGTTTTCATCTCAGAGATTATACATAAAATACTGAATACACTTTTATTTTATGAGGAATGCAGTCAATAATATGTATTCCATGTGACACATACATGACAATAAACATTTCTTTAATCTTGATTACGTTATGATTTTATCAAAGATAATAGCAAAAAGTACATATTTATAAGAAGCGATGCATGTGTATAAAATATATTTTAGTTACCTTTAAGAACTCTTGCATCTAAATGATGAACATCAATCAAGTGTTTAACCAAGCAGTGAAGAAGATCTTTCAACATAGGAAATTCATCGATATCAGAATCAGTATAGATGATTATTAAACGGTAGTTTGGTTGGTAGTCCTTTAGATGATGGGCATTAAAACATTGTTCTCTAGCACGTAAATAGTTATTTAGCACTGGTAATGCACGACGTAACTTCACACGAGATTCACACGGTATGCCAATTGCTGTTTGTATTCGTAAATTAGCTTGAGAGGCAAGGCTTCTAATGTCAAGTATAAGTGGTAAACACTGTTTACATGAATAGTTTGAGGTTAGTAGTGAAGCCAGTTCATCACAATCAATAAAATTTATGCCTGAACTAACAGGATTATTGCTAGCTTGATTGTTTTCAGATGGATAATTTACTGCAATCGGTGATAAAATATCCAACGGAGTTGATGTCATCTGATTACTTATCGTCAAGTGGTGAAGTGATTCCAACTTTAGGCGTTTTCCTTCATTTTTACATTCTAAAATCGTTTCATCAGCATCACTTTGTGATGACTGCCTGCATGTCCGTTTTTGACCAGTATTTTCGGGCACTACATTCATCGTTATTAAATTGTGTGGTAAATTTTCCTGAAATTCAATACTTTGACAGTGAATTGTCATTGTAATATGGGTCTAACCCCGATCGCCCCGGTGGACAGTATACGGGCTATCTACGCTTGACAAAGCGTAAACTGACTCTTATTTATTGTACCTGAAGGTCATATTTTAATACACCAATAGTCTATCAGTTTTCATAATCCTATGCTGAAATGTAATTGGTTAAAATATTTGTATAGTGATTGACTATGGGTGTTAGATGACGAAGATAAATGTGATTTAGATCAGTCACATGGATGATCTAGTGATTTTTAAGTAGACCATAACTTGATTGACATTTTATTAAAAATATTCTTTACAAAATGGTCATTTTTATTTCCTTTATAGTTTGCCATTTACTCATGAATTTTTTCTCTTAAATTTTCTATTGGTATCACGAATTTTTGGTGAAGTTTCATAAATTTTTCATTAGATTAGGTTATCCTTAAAGTGAGTTCGCCTCTCTTCAAATGTACTGTCAAGATAATTTAGATTCGATTCGTTACCCGATCACTCTGATAAGTAAAATGTATAAATATTTGTTGAAGACTAGATTTCAACTAAATTTCGACTCATTAGCTGAATGGTATCATATTCACCCTTGAAAATTAAATGCTATGTAATCTCGAATTTAAGATGAAATATCTGCACCAGTGCTTTCGGATTTTCCGTGACTTTACAACTAATATCAACACATGATGTTAAGCATATAAACAGCTACTTAAAAGGTAACTGTATGTCGTATGGATATCCTTCTTAAGACGTAAAGCTTTTATTTCCTCATCCTTAATCAGTTTTGAAAAATAAAGTCGAACTTTGGAAAAGGCTTCGTTTGATTAAAATGTACTGCAGACTGACCTAAGGTTTTATCCTTCTGATCATTAGTTAAAGACGTGGAGATTGGAGTGATAAGTTGGTCATTGGAGGTAGTCAACGAAATCCTGTTTAGATCTAGGTTTCGTGCGATTTGGGGCTCGTCAGCAAGGTGTACCTGTAGCCCTGATGGACTCGACGCCGATCACCCAGTTTCATAGTGTTATATCCCCCGGTGAATTACGAATGGTAACATTTAGGTCTATTTATGGATGTAATATGCCTATTTCCTATTGTATAGTTGTTAAATAACTGACCTAATCGTATTCGTGTTCCTCTTATCATAACCTTTATTTTGACCTTTGAACTATTATTATTAATTACTTTCCCCCTATCCACAGCCACATTTGGCCAGTTATTGTACAAATATTATTTTTCTATTTTTTGGTATAATGTTTGGTCTGTTTGGTTTGTATATAAACCCAGTATGCTTGTGAATAATGATTCATATTGCCGAGGTTGTTATTTGTGTTCTGCACTTAACTGGCTGGGCTAGGCAAAAAGCAGGGCCGATACGCAATCAAGACTGCTCGTACGATTTTAATTATCATCATTGCGCCGATCAGTAAAATCCACTCCTCTCTAATTGCACATTCATATATATTAAGAGGGCATACGTTATAACACATAGTCACAGACGTTACCACTAAGCTATCTGGGCGGTGAATGACCTTATTTAGGACTGAGATTTATTTATAATTAATTGGTCACTGGGTGGTGACCATCGGTCAAATCAATAAATATATCGATTATTAAATATCCAGTCAATCGTGATTATTTATCTCCACCAAAATTCTCATTTGAAATTACTCGCGAAGTAGGACAAACTGGTCTAAAGGCAAACCGGGTGAGAGCTTACTTAAGCGGAGGAGTTGGCATTTAGTCAATTCAAGCTCGATCTTTTAATTTATAAGCGGTACATCCCATAGTTTACTTTAGTACTAGCACTTATTATTTTACTTATTTCTTGATACGTGCTTGATTTCCCCCTCTTATCTTATATTCTTCAAATATATAATAATCTTTTACATCTTTGTTCTAAATCTTATTTGGAAACACTTTCGCCCATACTTTTATTCTTCATATAATCGTCAACTGAATAATCTTTCATGTGTTATATCATCCGGATTACCCTTTGACTTTTGCGTAACTTTAATTTCTTAAAGACCTTCAGTTCTGTGTTCTGTGTTTTTACTGTAGACTAATATATGTAAAAATTAACTGTAACTGCGACTATGTAGCTCTAGTAAATAACATCGTTGAAAACAAAATTTTCTTCAATGAGACTTTTTTATTTTGTTGATTGACTCGATGGGTTTCTATGGTAATTAAAAGTATCCAAATTAATGTACTAACAAAGAATTTCCGAAGAGTGTAATTTAAGGCAGGTAGAACTAGATGAGCACAAATAAACTTATCATATCTGGAAATACGTAATCAGTGGATAATCACGTACACATGAATCATTAATTCATGTAAATACCACAGTTTCTTTCGTTAATTTCAGTCAACCTTAACTGTATCGCTTAAAGTAACAGATTTTCGTAAGCATATTATTATTTTTATGCATATAAGGTGCATGAATTTGAAATACATTTCCGTTTCAATTCTCAACAGATATGCAATATCTAACATTTTCCCATCTATTTAATGAGTGAATGCGGCATTAAAAAAAAGTATGATTTTCATCTAGGATTTCATTTCAAGCTTTAACTTTTATTTTGTGTTTTTATTTTCTCATTCAGAAAGTTGGGATACACTACAGTGGGGTGTTCACAGATGATAATTGTAGACAGTTTTAAATGGTTTTCCCAAGCATCTATACGCTGAAGGAGTTCCTGTTCTCCCATACATCGATGATAGAATGAGTTGTCTAAAACAATTCGATTAGAAAATATAGACTATCAACCAATCTCTGCTGATTTACGCTATCAACACAATATCAAAACAAATAAATATCCTAGATATTGTTACATTCATGCTATGTTTTTATGCTCCACCGTAGCACTAAAGGTTTTATCACGTTAATCCGAAGAGTTTCAGGACGCCTGGTCAAATTTGAGAGTCAGCTGCTACCAAAACGTATGGATTAAACAGGTTTCCCTTTTTAATGTGAATAATTGTGTATGTTATTCTCATGTATACAACCTATTAGATCATAACTTAGTTATTATGAAATATAAGTGGAACAACTACGGTAATTTGTAGACTTTTACTATATCTATCTTGTAGCGAAACAACAGAGGAGTACATACAAAATCATGAATTGAATTAATTATGAGATGAATGAAATATCTTGGGAGTGAAAGTGCTTGTGAACATTTTCAGGTAAAGATAAATGGTAACCAATCCCTGTTTAAAAACTTCTGTGTATTTTTTTAATGCTCACAAGTAAAATGACTATTAGACTGGAGTTTATTGCAATAGTGCATAGTGTCTACCGATAATTATTAACTGTATTAAAATACATGGTACCGAATATTATCAATAATATTTTAATAGTGATACAGATATTTACCAATTAGTTGCTCATTAATTCATGATCAGTTAATATGGATTTCCGAATTTCACGTCTGAAATTTAAAATCTCTTTTTGAAATCTGATTGGTCTATCAGTTTAATATATTTTCATTACAATCGCTTTAGATTTAAAAACACAATGTCGACTTGAAGGAATAACGTATTTTCCAAACGAACGAGTTAAGGCTATCCTGAACATTTTCATTATTCACTTAATCTATCCCACTCAGTAATTTCTGTCATTTTTCTATTCATTTAGTGAGGAATTCCTGTACATTAAAGTTCAGTTTTCATAAGAGATTTCAAAACAAGTGGTTGAAGTTATTCACTACTGTCGGCTATTAACATGTCTAGTGTAGTACTATCCAGCATCTTGGATGAAAAACACAGATACAGTTGAAGTTAGGCTTTCAAGCAAACTTTTGGGTGAAAAACATACCATTCTTTCACTAGACGTACGGAAATATCGTTACAAGCATTGAACATAACACATTTATCATAAATTGAGAACATTTTGAACAATCTTAGCCTATGAATGTTGAACAAATTTTTAAAATAAGTAATCTGAGCGTTGTGGTAGTTTTAGTCATCAAGTTATAATACGAGTTGAATTCAGGATTTACAATACCTATACATATACTATACATATTTATGAACTCTGGATCGTTTCACAAATATGTTTGTATAATTAAGATATTTCGTATTAGATATAATTTATATGATAAATACCTAACAATGAAAGCTGTTATATGTTGGAGAGAAAAATCAAATACAATTGATATTAAGCTATATCGAGGCAATACGCACAGTATGCACATATGTCAATAAGAGACTGACCAGTTACAGTCCTAAACATCAATGGGAAGATTCAAAAAAGTAATACTGAGTGAATTTAAAGTTCACCGCATTGCACAAGCAAGTGTCTATTTGGACTCAGTAGCTGAGTGGATAACGCCATGGCGTTTGAAGTGAAAGGTACTGGGTTCAAGTCTCAGAGTGAACATCAACTCTGAGATGCAGGTACATCCAGCTGACGGGTCCCGAATAGGACGAAACGCGCGTCCTGGATTCTACTGCTAGCCACTATCCATGTTTGCTTAAAATACAATAGTGTTTTATTAAACATTAAAATAATCACTGCATAACTGGTATAAAGCATCAGTACCTGTCTAAGACAACTAATTTTGTTTAAAAATTCTAGTTTTATCAAAATTAAGCAAACTTATTTGAATTTAAAAGTATATGGAATATCAAACATTGGAATTTCATCTATCTAAAACATTCAGATTTAATTGCTACAGTTTTATTTAAACAATAGCAGTGTAACCCAAACAATAGTAACCTAGATTTTGTAGATTATTATAATATAATGTTATGACAACGAATTAAGGTCAAACATCGATGAATAAAGTAAACAACAACAATAATAAAACATTCAAAGTATTATGACTCACCATTTTTAAAAAAAATCTGCTTACGAGAAATTAATAGTAGGTTATAATTTATCTATTGATTGAAAGGTACACTGCCATTGTTTAGGACAAGTGTTTCAGTTTTTAGTATAACTAGTTAGTAATACATTAAACATTTAAGCCCAGGATGGACTATTTTCTTTATCGTTTGTAAAGAAATCCATAAACAAAGATAAGAGGTTATTTCGTCTTCTAAACTATTTGTAAATTCACATATATATGGATGTTTTCTTAGGTAGTTTTATTGTAAAAATGATACACTTTCTACTTGTATGCTAATCTATTTCATTTGTAACAATATCTATGTCGAACTTTGAACTCTGTCAACCTTTCGCTTAAAGTTGATATTACAAAACATTAAAATCGAAATCTAATAATATTCATGATACTCATGTTTTAAAACAGATAGCAGCTATTTTCAGTCAGTCATTGTATTGCGCTAATAATTCTGTTGATTGTGTGGAAGCCCTAGATATAAGTTTCCTATCAGTAATATACATAGGTAATATTTTGGAAATATTCCTCGTGGAATTAGAACTCTAGTCACCTGCTTTCACAATCAAGGATGCTACCACTGAAGTATTCAGTCCTCTCGATTGGAGCATTAAGTTTCTCTTATTGATGAGTATCAGTTATTGGGCAGTCGCTTATTGTATATTTCATCTGCTTAACTTTCACTAAAGATAATTTGCTCTGTTTCTGTAGTTTTTAAATGCAACTGACATAATTATATGCATCAATATTGAAAAAGTTGATATTTTAATGAAAAAAGAGAAATATCTTGTTCGTCAATGAAAAGGATAAATTAAGCAACTCTTATTAATTATGATGTAACTGAAAGTTGTCGATAAGAATACTTACTTACTTACGCCTGTTACCCCTCGTGGAGGAGCATAGGCCGCACACCAGCATTCTCCATACAACCCTGTCCTGGGCAATCCATCCCAGTTCTTTCCAGTTAACATTCATTCTTTTCATATCTGCTTCTATTTCCCGACGTAATGTGTTCTTTGGCCTTCCTCTTTTCCGTTTCCCTTCCAGATTCCAAGTTAGGGCTTGCTTCGTGATGCAGTTTGGTGATTTCCTCAATGTATGTCCAATCCACTTCCAACGTGTTTTCCTAATTTCCTCTTCAGCTGGTTTGTCCTCTCCCATAAAACGCTGTTGCTGATAGTATCCGGTCAGTAAGATAAGAATACTTGAATAATGATTATTCTCAATTTATCATTAATCATCGGTTAGACGTAACTTTGAGAAGTCCATTATGTTTTAGAGATTAAAATCCAGATCAAAAAGTATAACTATTCAAGACGTTAATATTGAGCTTTATATTATATCAGTGTCATGAGTTTCAAAAATTTCTGACGAATAAGGAAGATTAAGTTAAACCCGGTTCTGTAGATTGTGAAATAATTTCTAACCCAATGTGACAGTGAAACAAGGAATTATTTGTTATGATCTATCTATATGACTTGTTGTTTACAGTTTAATT